GGCGCCTCGGATATGTTTCATTGCAGCACCGGCGAACCCGACGATGCTTCGTCGCAGCTCCGGCACCTCGGCAATACTTCATCGCAGCACCGACGAACCCGACGATGCTTTGTCGCTGCTCCGGCGCCTCGGCAATGCTTCATCGCAGCATCGGCAAACCCGACGATGCTTCGTCGCTGCACCGGCTCCTCGGCAACACGCGGCGGCGGCGGCGGCGGATGCTACTACACAGCACGCGGCGGCAACGACGGATCCAGCGGCAGCACGCGGCGGCGCATGCTGCGATGCAGCGGCGGCGACAGCGGATGCAACGACAGCACGCGGTAACGATGGCGGATGCAGCAACAACACGTGGCGGCGATGGCTGCAACGGCAGCAACAACACGATGCAACGACAGCAAAAGCTTGCTACGATGCAACGGCAGCGACGGCGCATGCTGCGATGCAGCGAGGACGATGGATGCAACGGCAGCACGCGGCGTCGGCGATGGCGCGGTTCCAACGGCGGATGCTGCGTTAGAGCATCTTGTGTGGTAGTGCTGGTGGGTGCGGATGGGAAGCAGTCATCGCTGCCATGCACCTGGAGAAAGAGCAGAGCAGTTTGAGAAGACGAGCGACTCACATGCTCTCATCGAGGGATGAGGTTGAGGCGGCTTGGGTGGGTCCATGGGACAGAGAAGCGTGTGTACCGCATGATGAGCTCAATCGGATGGCCTGGGACGCGACTTACGCAACGCAAAGATCAGTCGGTTTACACAAAGAGTTTTCCTTATTTTATTTCATGGAACCATGAGTGTTTTGAGTTGTATAGTGCGCTATTATCGATAATCTATCATGCCTCTGGCATAGTAAAATCACCCATGCATGACAGTAAGGTTGTCAGAAAAAAACACAATATGGATATAAGAAAGTACTCCCTCCGTTCTAAAATAGATGACTCGACTTTATACTAACTTTAGTACAAAGTTAGTATAAAGTCGAGTCATCTATTTTAGAACGGAGGGAGTACATGATAGTACTAAGTAAAATCTACATAAGAAATGGCACGATGCTATAAGGATGGTGATAAGTTGTGAAGGGGGTTGACATGTAAGGCGGCCATAGAGGTGACAGCCGTGTCAATAGCCTCTACCCTCGAGGCTAACCAACGATGGGATGGGTAACCCTGACGTTTCTCCACCTCCGACATGGAGTGAAGTCTGACCGAAACACTATCATGGCCTCGACTTGCACGGGCATGCATCCTGAATGTCCCCTCCTTTATCTCGTCTTCTTCACCTATCCTCCGTACCCTCCATGCATCCTCTCTCGAGTGCTAAATCGTCGCCTTTCCCTTCCTTGATTTCTCCGCTCTTCTTCCCACAATACCATCATGCCATTGTTATCCAGATATGGTGCGTCCGCCATTGACGATCTTAGGTGATATACTACGATATCAACATCAAACAATTATTGCAACAAAGCTAGGGGAAATCACTGAGATGAATTTAAGAACATTTTACAAGTAAATGGGTGAGAAGAAAGGGCAAACCAACATCTACATCCTATCATCAAGTCAAAAACTCTCAAATCGAGGCTCGATATATATTATGGGAGACAAAATGTATACGGAGTATTATCTCCCAACTGCCTCAAAAATAGCTATGTCTTATTTGTCATTCATTGTCCGGTCAAGGTCTCATCCTTCATGTGCACTCGCACCAGTCTCAATCTTCAAACTGAATGATTATTGGTGTTGATTATTTTTCAGTTATTTGAAAAACAACAAAAGTGTAATGGTCAAATCCCGGTTGCATGAGACACCATAACAAAAGCATAAGAAGAAACACAAATTTAAAAATTCATTAGAAAGAATATGAGATCATGAGTATGCTTAAAAGAGTCAAAATATGATGGTTTACCATAACAGATTTGATAGAGAACCCATATCACGATATAGAGGCACACACGCATACGACTGCCACATGGACACATTCACACATGGCCTAGATGACCGAAGGGTGATCTCTTGTGAGTTGGGGTACAACTACCCTCCTAACCATCACGAGCACGTGTTAGTTCTCGTGCTATAACATTGTTTGTGTCTCCGTTAGATTGCCATTGTTGGTTATGTATTTAGGGTTTGCTATTGCCGCATCCAATAAGAAATATATAGCCGTCAGATTATGCGCGGAGATTCGTACTACTTTTCCCTCTCTATGAATTTCCACCGTAGATCCTTATTTATCTTTCTCCTCACGCATTTGTATTCAATAGCTTGCTGCTAACTGCTTCCTCACTCTTCGAACAAGGGAAGATGCATCGTGGTGTCTCACAATAATAAAATTATGTAAGGCCATTTCATAATTTAGGCCTAGCCTTCATTGTTGATTTGACCAACAAAACATATGTATGCAAAATGAAAATACAGCGCTTCCACGAGAGATAGATAAACTTTGAGTTATAAACGGAGAAGAGCCTTTAGAGAATCAAGAGTGATTCCTCAATAAAACAAATGAGATTTTGAGGAAGGGCTGAACGCGATGTATTGAAGGGTTCGCTTTCGCTGATCGGCGCCAGTCTTTCCTGTTGTGAATTTTCCAGATCGGGAGAGGCCCTTTCCTTCTATACTACTCCCTTCGTTTCAAAATAAGTGTCAAATTTTAACAAACCACGACACTTATTTTAAACCAGAGGAAGTACAATATTAGAAACTTCTTCAAATACGAACCCAAGGATACTTCTCTGCCGAGTATAACACGGGTGAATTTGAGAAACGCCGCTCACTTTCAGTCCCCATACCTAGACGAAGGCCGAGCCAGTTCGATGCGGTGAGCCCACCGGGCGGTGTGGGCAAGGGCGCCGGAACCCAGCGACGTAACGAATGGTGCACCTGGTCCGTGGAAAACAGCGGCGATGCCTCGGATCGGACGGCCGTGACGGGTCCGGCGCATGCCCCTGGTTCTTCA